ACATTATAATTAACTTATATAAGTATATTTTATTTACTTCTTCAAGTAAATAAAGATTACTTGTACAAGTAGTACCCCTGACTGACTAGTTTAATCAGACAAGTGACATTTCTCAAAACCAAATCGGCAAAAGTAAACTTATTTCAGATTATACATTATCAGAAAAAAGATAAGAGTTGTGAAATATCATGAAATATTTGCCGCTGAACGCAGTTGTCATTCGATTTATTGATCAATCAGTTAAGACTGTATGGTTAAATCATAAGTCATTACAATGCTATATACTAGTATCCCGATTTTTGTGGTGATGTATAGTACTAAGTGTTAAGTCGGACTCTTCATCGACGGTGCTTTAGAAAAAAAAACAGACCTATGTCACAACTATGAAGAAGCTGAGAACACTGCTCGTCTTTTGAATCCCTCGTATTAATATAAAATCTTGCATACTTCTTTATATAAAAATACAGTGATTGAACTATATTTTCTTCAACATATCTTTATTGTTTGTAATATTTATCATATTATAAAAACCTTCATTTATTTCCATATTGTCGTGTTTTTTTTTTTATAGTATTCTAGAAAAAAAATAGATATGTAATAAATTAATTTCGATTTCCAACCCAAAAATTTAAAAAATCACAGAATATACGCAAGGTCCGCTACGTGTACTAAAGTTTAAAGATTAATCCCGAGGATGATGGAAATTTACCCGAATGTATGATATGTCAAATTAATCAATTAACGAGGATAACGTGCATGTGCTTGTCTAGGTAAATGTGTTGACGTTACGTATTGTTTTTAGTAACGTCATTCAAATATGTATGGCAACGTAACAATGTGAAAAAACAACGTCTCGGCGCTCAAAGGGTTAAATCTGTTTCTCACATACTAATAAGCAGTAGGTCAGCTATATGTGGTGTATGGAATGATTGTAAGTGTACTTGTCAGACTGGCAAGTTTATCCGACCTTGACCTTATTTTCATGGTTCATTGCTCATAGTATTTATCTGTTTTTCATCTATATTTTGGTTTATGGAATGATTGTTAGGTGTACAAGTCTATCTGGCAGCTATATGAACTTTACCTCATTTTTATGGTTCATTGGTCAATGTTAATTTCTCATGGTTTGGTCTGTTTCTTGGATACTATTAGCAATAAGATGTATGGAATGATTGCAAGGTGTACAGGATTTATCTGACATTGACCTCATTTTTATGGTTCATTGGTCAATGATCAATTTTCATAATTAATTTACCGTTATGTCAGTTTCTCAGATGTTATAAGCTATAGGTTAACTATCAGATTTGGCGTATGGTACGATTGTTTGATGTATATGACCTTGACCTCATTTACATGGATCATTGGTAATGTTAAGTGTATGTGATACTTGTAACAAACCTTCGTATTAGAGACTAAACATAATTTGAATCCTGATAAGTAAAGCAGGCGACACATTTCAGCGTGTGCACTCTTGTTAAACACGTTATGTCTATACAACCCATATGAGACATATCAGCCTTATAAAACACAATGAATTCTGAATATATGAGACAACTATTTATACTCAAAATAAAGACAATAAAGAGCTGCGCCATGAGCGCATGATACGCCCATCGCTGTTTCCATAACTCCTCAATATCATATCAGAAATTTATATACAAAATAACTAAAGGTAGCTTATTTTCATAGATATAAACCAGTCACCAAAGTTTCATGAAAACTGCTCAAAGCATTTTGAGTTATTGTCCGAAAACTGGAAAATTCCCCCTTTTTTAAGAATAAAATCACATAACTCGGAAACGTAAAATCTAAAATTTAAAAAAAGAGAGGTATCTTACGTCAATAGGTATAAACAGTTCACCAAAGTTTCATGAAAAATGACGGACAGATAGATATATATAGTACGGTGCATTGCATTTCAAAGTCTGACGGAGGGACGGATGGACGAACGAACAGACGCACAGACCGAAAAACATAATGCCCCTCTACTATCGTAAAAAAGTGAGGAAAACTGATTGAGTGAATTTTCTAAGTCCAAGGACAATAACTCTGCACAAAATCGTCAGACCGGAACAAAATTCGAACTTGGTCTGTAACTTTTCATGATAAAACAATACACCAAATATCATGAAGAACGAAGAAAAAAAGTGTGGAAAACTGATTTGCCGGATGGACGGATGGACAGACAGACAGACTGAGTGCAAACCTAAGGTCCCCTTCGAGGTCAGATGAGCCCTGCCAGACATGCATGTATACCTCAAAATCATTCGATACACTAATCTAGATGACTTCTACTTTTAGTATCTATGAAACGGACCCAACAAGGAAAACTAAACACAACAAATGAAAAAAGAAGACGAGGTGAATGTCAGTTAAACCCTGGCATACGAACATGTACACTTTACAACATCCCATACAGCAAATAAAGTTGACCTACTAATTCAAATATCTGAGAAGAGGACCTCATCCTCATCTGGAAAAGTTATAGCATTGACAAATGGACCATGAGAATGAGGTCAAGGTTAATTGAACCCTATCAGATGGACATATCATGCAAGGTCATGTGTTTCTTAGACTGTTTATGACGTCTTTACAATAAATCTGTTGGATGTTTAATGATTGATTCCTTAGTCTGGGAGAACATGATTTATTTATTAGTTGTAATTGGGTTTGAACTAGCTTTCAGTAAATGCACGTACTCTTACTTTGGTGTTTTGTGTCTTATGTTTTAATGTTAGTTATATTGTGCCTTGTGTCTATCCTTAGAGTTAGGCCAAGTGCATCTGATTTTTAGTTTGTTCTTCTGTTGTGCTATGTCACCACTGTCCCCAAGTTAGGGGAGGGTTGAGCGCTGACAAATATGTATAACCCCGTCACATTTTGCATGTGTCTGTACCAAGTAAGGAGACAGTAGTTCAATGGTTGTAGTTGGTTCATGTCTGTCACAATTGTTCATGTCTGGGCCTTTAATAGCCGACTATATGGTATGGTTTATTTCTCACTAATGAAGGTCGTACGGTGGCCTATAATGCTTGCTTGTACATCTACTTTATTTGAACTCAGGTGGATAGTTGTCTCATTGGCAATCATACCATATCTCGTTATTTTTATATATATCCTATTTCCCAAATGAAACAAGAATGTACATGCCTGGCATGCTAGAATGTCTGGCATACCTTTCTGATCATGATACAGTTTAACTACAAGTATCACATGAACTTAACATTATAAATGATTCATTTAAACAGGTGTAGGTCAGATAAACCATGCAAGTCAAACATGCTTACCTTGCAATCATTCCATACACCAAACATAATGAACATAGTTGATTATAGTAATTGCGAAACGGCCTTAACCTCATAAAATTAACCTCGACTAATCAACAAGGAAAATGAGGTCAAGGTTAGACAAACACTACCAGATGGACATGCACACCTTACAATCAATCCATACATCAAAAATAGTTGACCTGTTGCTATGGTATCTGAGAAACAGATTTTATTTCCAAAAAAGCTTCACATTGATAAATGAACTGAACTATGGAAATAAGGTCAGTAGAACCCTGTCAGTTGGACATGTCCTTCTTACAATCATTGTATACACCAACTAGAGGCTCTAAAAGCCTGTGTCGCTCACCTGCATCTTCAACAATGGCCATTTTCAGTAAAAATCAGCATGATAATTTTTCCTTTTCAAAGTTTCTTATCAGTTGTAGCCTATCCAGCCCTACCTAAAATTATTGCTTCTCTTGTATCATTTTCACCAGGAATTTTAAATTTCACCATCTGATCCTTCTTTAATTTCATGCAATCATTTGCCTGTGACTCAGTATTTTGTTCCATATTTTCCACACTTTCCAAACGTCAGGTTAACCTTGTCTGGCATACATGATTGAATACATTGTAGATTAAGTTACATCTTACTAATAATAAGTGAGAAATTCACTTGATAATTAAACTAGTTTTATAAGCAGTTGCTGAATTAAGAAAATTAGGAAAAGGACAACATTACTGACATATAAGCATGAAGGAAACTTCAGACCATAAGGCATATGAATACCAGATATGGAATATCCAGCTCTTCTGCATTCTGAAATATGAAGCTGTAAAGCAAGAGCTATTAAGCAACATATTAGCATCCCTATGACTAGCATTTTGGTTTAATAGTTCATATGGTGTTCCTGAAAAAGTGCTTATGAAAACAATATAATGAGATTGAGTACAACATAACACAGTAAAATGACCAAATTTAAAAAAAATTTGAATAGCAAAACCTTAGGAACCTTACTTGCTCACTTGATAAACATATACATTAGAAATTTATGTTCACCTTATTGGTAATCACATTTTTTTCACAACTTAACTATTTATTTTCAAATATTAAATAGCACCACATATATGTTCCATAAGTTTCGATGATTTTTATTGGCAGACAAGAATCACATGGTGTTCTGAAGTGAAGTTTTATGTTCCAATTAAATAATGATCTTTTTTGTTGTTTTCAGTTTCTGTCTATCTAATGTTACCTTAAAGATGACTGTTAAAAGAGCTGAATTTTGTCAAAATTCATCATTTCAGGAAAATAACTCATATAAGGAGTCAATTGATGGATTAAGTCATACAGGTATTTCTTTAAATTTGGTTTTGCTGATGTCTTTTGCTGTTTACACTTCTTGTTCATATATTATAGTTTTCAAGGGACAATAAGTCCTAGAAGAAATGGTCTGATGGTTTTGCTCATATTAGCATTTCTAGTGATCTTGTAAAAATTACTGTTCATTTTTGTTGCTTACATTTACTTTCTATCTATAATAATTTTCAAAGTATCAGCTAGGTAAAAGTTAGAAATTGGCCATTATATTAATAGTCATGTAAAGGCAACTATTCCTACAAATCAATTAATGGAGGGGTTCAGTTTTATTGGCTCTTTTTGATGATTTTGTGATGCTTATCTATTTTGCTGTTTTGACGTTCTCTGATGAATAATAAGCAGAACACAAATTGAAAAAAAAATCCATTTTATTACAATTATACCTGAGTTGTCTGATAATTTTGTTTAATATTAAAGTATTTGGCTCCTGTCACAATTTCTTTCGCAAGATATTTGACATTTTGTTTGCATTTGACCCTTATGGTTTTTTATTAGCAATGTCAGTAATGTTGGTTCATTGGCAAGAACAAAAAATCACTAACTGTAAACTAGATATCCTTATGATCATTCATTCCAAGTGTTGTTGAAATTACTCCAGCAGTTTCATAGAAGATTTTTTTTTTAAAGTTTATAACAGATCACAATAACAGACGCAAAATGATGACAACAGCTCATATGGCAAATAGGATAGGGTAGAGAACATGATTATTCCATATCCATAAGACAATTATCTGACAAACTAATAAAATGTTAAACTTTTGCCACTTCTGTTACTTTTGTGCTATATTCTGGTGGAAATAATGCAGTGCCCATTGGTATGCCTGCTTTTTGGAATTGCATCAAAGACGGTCTTGATGTTCTAGCTGAACAATGAAATTCCATGGCTTTGGACTGTTGTAGAATTCTGGAAATATTGATCTCATTTATACCTCCACCTTAAAATATATTAATATAAAATGTAATCTTCAACAATAGAGAAATTAAAAAGAAAAAAACACTTTCACAAGGATATATAAATATAAATATGAACTTGGTTTAAACACAGAGATTGATTTTTATAAACATTTCACCTGTAGGTATTTTATACAATTTGGAATTTTAAAACATCTATTTCATGCTTATAAATATAGGGATTGCCTTTTGATATTGCTTAAATGACTTAATTTAATATTGCTTAAATGACTTCATAAATTTATTGGAAACAGAAGGCTCATCAAAGACTGAATGTCAAAAATAAATCTTGTATTGCTGATCAATTTTGCTATTCATAGTGTGGTATCTACTATAGTTTTGTGGATAATAAGCGTGGTATCTACTATAGTTTTGGGGATAATAAGCGAAATTCAGAAAATTGGTAAACGAAAATAGCATTAATTCTAAATAGTTTTGGTCGTTCTGCCATGTAAGTGGACCCAAAGTCAAAGTTGTTGATGACTGAAAAATTTTAACCTTAGGCTGTATCTAAATGTTAACTATAAAAAAAAAACTCAATTTTAAACTGAATCTAAATGTTAACTGAAAATAGAACCTCAATTTTAACCTTAGACTGCATCTAAATGTGAACTTAAAAAAAGCCATTTATCAGTAAAATACGGAAAAAAAGAAAAATATTTTCTAAATTTTGCTCTGGATTCTATCTTTTGGTCACAATGAAAGCTTCTGTCCAAATTTTTCATAAAAATCCAATAAAGGTTTGACAAAGTTATTGGTGTATTAAAAAAGAGTGCACACGCTGAAATGTCTCACCTGTTTTATTGACCATATATTTAATGTTCAAAGACATTTTACAGTTATTCCATACGAGAAGTATAGTTGATCTACTGCTTATAGTATTTGAAAGTAAGTCATTTAAGCAATATTAAATTAATTCATTTTTAAACAAAGACTAAACATTGACGAATGAACCATAAAAATCGAGGCCACGGTCAGATATGTACCAGACAGACATGTACACCTTACATACATTCCATACATCAAATATAGTTGACCTGCTGCTTATAGTATTTGTAAAACAGACCAAAACACAAAAACTTAACATTGACCAATGAGCCATGAAAACGAGGTCAAGGTCAGATGAAACCTACTAGAGTGACATGTACTCCTTACAATCATTTGATACACCACATATATTTGACCTGCTACTTATAGTATCTGAGAAAACTGACATAATCTCGTTATTATAACCTTGATCACTGATCCATATAATGAGGTCAAGGTCATGTAGATATTGCAAGGAACCCATATACCAAATATATTTATCATATTGCTTATAATAAGTGAAGAATTCATATAACAAAACAAGACTGCACACGCTGAAATGTCTCGCCTTCTTTACTAACCACTGATTTTATGTTGATAGTCCTAAATATCAGCTTTACTAAAAGTATCACATAAACTTAACATGATCCTAGAAAATGAGGTCAAGGTCAGATAGACCAAACTGGAAATACATGTACACCTTACAATCATTCAATACACCAAATATAGTTGACCTATTGCTTATAGTTTCTAAGAAACAGACTTAAACAGGAAAACTAAACATTGACCAATGAACCATGAAAATAAGGTCAACTATGCCAGACAGACATGTACACCTTACAATCAATCTATACACTAAATATAGTTGACATATTGCTTATAGTATCTAAGAAACAAAATTAACCATAAAAACTTAACATTGACCAATGAACCATGAGGTCAAGGTCAGATGAGACCTGCCAGACAGACATATACACCTTACAATCATTCCATACAACAAATATAGTTGACCTATTGGTTATGGTTTAAGAAAAACAGACCAAAACACAAAAACTAAACACTGAGCAATGAACTGTGAAAATGAGGTCAAATAAAACCTGCCAGACTGACATGTACATTGTAAAATATTTCCATACACCAAATATAGTTGACCTATTGCATATAGTGTTAGAAAAAAGACCAAAACACAAAAACTTAACTTTAACCACTGAACCATGAAAATGAGGTCAAGGACAGATGCTACCTGCCAGTTGGACATGTACACCTTACAATCATTCTATACACCAAATATAGCAGACCCATTGCTTATAGTATCTGATATATGGACTTGACCACGAAAACTTAACCTTGTTCACTGATCCATGAAACGAGGTCGAGGTCAGATGAATACTGTCTGACGGGTATGAGGACCTTGCAAGGTACACACATACCAAATATAGTTATCCAATTACTCATAATAAGAGAGAAATTAACATTACAAAATATCTTAACTTTTCAAGTATTCACTGAACCATGAAACCGGGGTCAAGGACAATGGACATATGACAGACGAAAACTTCATATCATAAGGCATCTATATACAATATGAAGCATCCCAGTCTTCTACATTCTGAAATATTAAGCTTTACAGTAGTCAGTTAACGCCGCTGTTGCCGCCACCGGATCACTTTCCCTATGTCTCGCTTTCTGAGACATAAGTCGCAGGCTCGACAAAAATCAGTTGAAAAGAGTTTAACTCATCAGATCAATATAAAGCAGAAAGACATCTAACAAAAAACACAGACTGGACGTGGCAGGGTATCTATACATTCCCACAACAAAAAAGACACTAAGTACAGATCCTAGAGTACTCACAGTTACTGACAGCTAGTTCAAAGCCAATAACAACGAATAAAAAAATCATGCGTCAAAGACTAAAATATCAATCAGTACATATCCAACATCCAATGGATTTAATGTAAAGACCTCATTAACAGTGTCAGTCAGAGAAAACATTAAAGTCCATTTCCATAATACACTATTTACATATGTAATATATAAATTTAGGACTTTCACTCAGTCAATACGTTATATATGGACCTGTTAGATTATATAGATTATATTGAACCCCAATCATTATAATCTGAACAGGTCCATTTATAACGTATTGACCTCGTCAAAAGCCCTGGCATAATTGATAAATATTGACCTATATTAGTATATCGACATAGGACTTCATCTTCAGTCAATATATTTCTTTCAGGTTGATATATCCTTGTTTCAACCTTATACAAAGGCTATAATTATATATTACACTTTACAATCATTTTATACATCAAATATAGTCGACCTGTTGCTGTAACAGTATCTGAGAAATGGAAAATAAAAATAGAAGTTGACCAGTCATAATACATGAAAATGAGGTCAGTAACTAATTAACATTGTCAGACAAACATGTACACCTTAAATTAATCATTCTATACACCACATGTTGTTGACCTAATACAAATAATATTGAGAACCCTCATAATCATAAATCATAACAATGACCAATAAACTATGAAAAAAGGCCAAGGTCAGCCAGACACGCACACCTCATAAATTACAATCAATCAATCTATACATCTTAATTTTATGCGATTTCAATGAACGTAATTTATGTATAACTGAAAAATTATTAAGTCAGGGATTTCGTTACCACACATTTATTAAAACATTACCAAATTCTTTCTAAAAAAAGATTTGGTTTTAAAGTTTAGCTGTACCTGTAGAGTTCTTAATTTAAAAAAACCGGGATATCACATCCTAATTATCACTGCAATGTTGTTTATAAAGCCCGGAAATTTATGTTCAATCCATGATCCTTTGAATAAACTAATTCTTAAAGGTCATCAATTAATCACAGCAATAATATCTTTAAATATCTTTAAATATTGTTATTATTGGTATTAGCATTGATTTTGTTTTTGAATAATGAAAATAAAAAACTATATATATATTGCTTTATATTTACAGTTATTGTAACTCATGATCCTACATCCTGTTGATACTGTTTACATATATTTTGGCATTGCACAATGTCATGTGTTTCTCAAACTGTTTATGACCACTTTATGCTAAATCTGTTGGATGTGTGAAGATTGATACTTTAGTCTGGGAGAACATGATTTTTTCATTACTTTTAATTGGCTTTGAACTGGCTTTCAGTAACTGCGAGTACTCTTATTTTGGTGCTTTGTATCTTGTTTATATTTGTGTTGTTTTTGTGCATTTTGTACAATTCTTTTGAGTTAAAACCAAAAATTGCAACTGATTTTTACAGTTTGTTCTTATTCTGTGCTGTAACACCACTGTCCCAGGTTAGGAGATTGGAAAGGGGATTGATCACTCACAAATATGTTTAACCTCATCACATTCTTTATTAGGTCTCAAGTTAGGAACCAGAAGCTCAGTGGTTGTCAAAAAAGGTTCATGTTTGTAACATTTGTTTTCCGTAAATTGTTTTGTTAAAAATTAGTTAGTTTTTTCACATTTTTCATGTTGGGGCCTTTTATAGCCTACTATATGGTATGAGTTTTTTTAATTGTTGAAGGACATACAGTTGCCTATAATTGCTTACATCCACTTCATTTGAACTTTGGTGGATAGTTGTCTCATTGGCAATCATATCAAGTCTCTTTATTTTTATATATAGTTCCTTATAAGTTGATTATATAATAACATCTTGTTCCAATCTAATGAGCTTAACTTACCATCATCATCTTGAGGGATTTAAACAATTTTTAGATAATTTCTAAGTTTTAAATCCATACCTGGCATCACTATAATTCTTTCTTTAGCCTGAAAAATAGTATTGAACTTTTAATTTCTTAAATTCAAGGAGGTTTTTAACGAATTTCTGATTTGACATGGTGAGTGAAACATACACTGTAACAGGGGAAATTTGCTATAAGTCAATAATCATTCATTAGAAATTTATAAGCAATGTCATTGACTACCACTAGTGGTTATAGTAACCCTTAAGCTAACCTAATCACAAACTAATACATGTAAACTAAGCAAAAGTTTCAAAGTCAATAGACCATGACTGTGGGGCAGTGCCATATAATCTCCATGGAAATGAGATGTACCAGATTGAATGGTTGATTGATTGATTGGTTGGTGTTAAATGCCACTTTCAGCACTATTGTGCTATTTTGTGGCAGTCAGTTTTCATTGGTGGAGCCGAAGTGCACGGAGAAAACCACCAACCTTTGGTAGAAAACTGACAATCCTAGTCAATTAAGATTGGAGTCGAGCGCATTATATATTATATCACTTTCACTAGCATAAGATACTGATTAACTACTTAGATTTGATATACAAATGTACCAGTACTACCGTTTTTTTTTTAATTCATAAATAGTAATATATCAATACATATTGATTTACAATTGAACTATATGCAAGTGTATATCTAAAATTAAGTAGCTGTTCATCCTCTATTTTCTAAATTTAAAGGCAAATAATATGTAAGTTGGCATTAGATGATTAAAATGGTGTATACACTTTCTGCAAGTCATAAAACATATAATTAGATTGATGATTATTCTTCAACTCAGAATTCTGCACCATCTTAAAATCTGGAGTGAATACATAGAATTCCAGTCGTTTCCGTGCATGAACCGTTCAAACAAAGCTTTTCAAATTTTAATATGTTGTTACTGATGACAAAATGGAGGTCAAGTTCAATATTGACGATTTTCACTTTCACGGTTCAGGAGTTATGGTTCTTGAAAGATTGAAAAATGATGATTCCAGTCGTGTCCGTGCTTTAAATCATGAACCGTTCAACCAAAGCTTTTAAAATTTTAATATGTTATTACTGATGACAAAATGGAGGTCAAGTTCAAAATAGTCGATTTTCACTTACACCATTCAGGAGTTATGGTTCTTGAAAGATTGAAAAATGGTGTTTCCAGTCGTGTCCGTGCTTTAAGTCATGAACCGTTCAACCAAAGCTTTTAAAATTTTAATATGTTGTTACTGATGACGAAATGGAGGTCAAGTTCAATATTGTCGATTTTCACTTACACCATTCAGGAGTTATGGTTCTTGAAAGATTGAAAAATGGTGTTTCCAGTCGTGTCCGTGCTTTAAATCATGAACCTTTCAACCAAAGCTTTTCAAATTTTAATATGTTGTTACTGATGACAAAATGGAGGTCAAGTTCAATATTGACGATTTTCAGTTTCACCGTTCAGGAGTTATGGTTCTTGAAAGATTGAAAAATGGTGTTTCCAGTCGTGTCCGTGCTTTAAGTCATGAACCATTCAACCAAAAGTTATAAATTTTAATATGTTGTTACTGATGACAAAATGGAGGTCAAGTTCAATATTGACGATTTTCAATTTCACCGTTCAGGAGTTATGGTTCTTGAAAGATTGAAAATTGGTGTTTCCAGTCGTGTCCGTGCTTTAAGTCATGAACCATTCAACCAAAAGTTATAAATTTTAATATGTTGTTACTGATGACAAAATGGAGGTCAAGAGTTATGGTCCTTGTGATATTGAAAAATGCCAGGACACAAATAAATGTTAAAAAATCCGGTTTTCCGTTGCTCTAACAGCCTCTTGTTGATATATTGTCTACATCTTGGAATATCTGTTATTTTGCCTTCACTAGTGTCAATGTTTAAAGCCAGTTTATCACGAGCGTTTGGGGCCAGAATTTTTTTCCCTTTTTACCCGGTGTTTAGATAAGTTTTTTTTCAAGATTTATTTTCTAATTTCTACTTACTTTCACTTAAATAATGTGTTCTTGCTCTTAATTCATACGACCTTAGAATAACAGTACCTAGTTTATACGTTCTGCCCCTCTATTCCAATTTTCCACATAAAAACAGAGGGATAGCAGGTATAAACTTCAGATATTGTAAGATCATACGAATAGGAGCAAAGAACACATTAAATAACTAAAAATAATTTAAACTATTTAAGAATTTATTTTACTAAAAACAAACTATAAACAATGCCCCAAGTGCCTGGGAGTAAAACAGTTGCCTTTTTTTAAATGGTTCATTAAGATATTTCTTGATGTTATTTTCCAAACTCGATATATTTCATTTCGTATGGAAAAATCGATAATGACCTACATGTGAAAATGCTTTTACTGTAATTTTAACTAGTGAATAAGATTTACTTTATATCATTAATCATGTAACAATGATTACCATATGATAAAAATAAGCCAAGCAAAATGTCATTTTTCATATTTTAAATTATTTTTAGTTATTTAATGTGTTCTTTGCTCCTATTCGTATGATCTTGATTAACGACACCTTGAAGGGTACCTTATCACTATTCATCGTATAATTTACCCGGACTATAACCGTATGGTCGGACCACATGAGTATATAGGCATGTAATGATTTTGTGTCATGGATGGAGACCCCTTATCCTTTGTTTTTCTATTATATTGTCCAACTATAATCATATGGTCTGGAACATGTACACAATATGTCAAACTCTTAATCAACTTTAGTCTAAAACAGATGCAAATAAATTTAAACAATATAACATTTGACATCAATAGATGTGTCTTTATGTCTTTATGAAGTGTAGCCTTAACTGTGATTCATAACAGTCAAGTTACAAATCTTCAATATTTGGGGCATGGTTGGTGCTGAATTAAACATCAAACCGTTAGATTTTTTGAGGTGGTGGGCAGGAGGATTTTAGAAATGAAGAAACAGGCCTGGTAAGAATTTAAATATAAAATTGCCCAAGACAAGGCTGAAAATTAAAATTTTGCCCCACAAAATTCACGAAATAAATGTGTACAAAAGTGAAAATAAATTTTCGAAAAAATGTCGATCTTTAAGCATCAGATGAAAATGAAAATTCCACCAAAAAGTAGAGAAAAATGACATGTCAGCAAGGGCCCCACTTGCACTTTTTTATGTAAGGCAAAGAAAATGACCATCCCAAGCTTAACTGCCGAAACACTAAAATATTGTCGGGTCCTATCATGCAATATGGGATGCGTGGTTGCATGGGTGTTTTATTTTAACAAAAAGAAAAACAAAATATTCCGTTAGTTTTAATAACTAAATATAACCCATATATACGTAAAATAAAGAAACGTATCATGAAACACTGGCATTTATTACAGTTTGACGAAGATTGTGTACAAATATTCAATGCTGCATCAATAGTTGCGTATAGCAAACATAAAAGTGTTGGAGATATGCTTAGTAGATCGAAGTTCAAGACTTTAACACATAAAATTGACAGTTTGACCCCTGCTGATGGCAGATCTGTAATAATAACTAGATCTATTGAAGAAGAATTAGAATATAAATATATCAATATATACATAAATAATTTTCATATTTGATTATATTTAAATAATGCATGTTAAAATGACCATCCCAATTAAGCTTAACTGCCGAAACACTAAAATAGTGTCGGGTCCTATCATGCAATATGGGATGCGTGGTTGCATGGATGTTTTATTATAACAAAACATAAAAGTGTAGGAAATATGCTTTGCAGATCAAAGTTAAAGACTTTGACATAAAATTGACAGTTGGACCCCTGATGATGGCAGATCTGTCATAATATCTAGATCTATTGACGAAGAATTAAAATATGAATATATCAATATTTACATGAATAATTTACATATTTGATTATATCAAAATAATGCATCGTAAGATGACTATCCCAAGCTTTAACTGCCGAAACGCTAAAGTAGTGTCGGGTCCTATCAGGCAATATGGAATGCGTGGTTGCATGGGTGTTTTGTAATAACAAATTGAAACAAATTCTTATCTGTATCTGTTACTCACAGCATGTATTCCGAGGATTTATTAAAGGTGAAGCAATACGGCAGATTAGAAACACAAGTGACCATAACAAATTAATAAACAATTTAGCTAATTTCAAAGTGAAATTATTAGATAGGGGTTATGATAACCTCGAAATAGATGATACTAGTAGTATTACTGATGCTTTATCAATTGACCGTACTGAATTATAACAACAAAATAAATCGAAAGAAACAGAAAATATTCCGTTAATTTTAGTTTTAATAACTAAATATAACCCATATATACGCAAAATAAAAAAAAAACGAATCATGAAACACTGGCATTTATTGCAGTTTTACGAAGATTGTGTACGAATATTCAATGTTGCACCAATAGTTGCGTATAGCAAACATAAAAGTGTAGGAAATATGCTTTGCAGATCAATGTTAAAGACTTTGACATAAAATTGACAGTTTGACCCCTGATGATGGCAGGCCTGTCATAATATCTAGATATATTGACGAAGAATTAAAATATGAATATATCAATATATACATGAATAATTTTCATATTTGATTATATTAAAATAATGCATCGTAAGATGACCATCTTAAGCTTTAACTGCCGAAACACTAAAGTAGTGTCGGGTCCTATCAGGCAATATGGGATGCGTGGTTACATGGGTGTTTTATAATAACAAAATGCAATATGGGATGCGTGGTTGCATGGGTGTTTTATAATAACAAAATGCAATATGGGATGCGTGGTTGCATGGGTGTTTTTTTATAACAAAATATATTAAAATAATGCATCTTAAGATGACCATCCCAAGCTTTAACTGCCGAAACACTAAAGTTGTGTCGGGTCCTATCAGGCAATATGGGATGCGTGGATGCATGGGTGTTTTATAATAACAAAATGGAATGCGTGGTTGCATGGGTGTTTTATAATAACAAAATCAATACTAACTTACCTTGTATGATCTTGTATATATATTAAGTTTAAGCATCTATTTCACGTCTTACAAAAAAGAGAAGTCTGTTTGTTTACATTTTTTATCATATTCATTCGAAAAACGTGGTCACACTCGAAAAAACCCGATCAAATCACTCGAAAAAACACAATCCCAGCCGGACACTATACCCACTTTGTCATTGTAATCGGAAAAGAAATTCATTTTCAATTTCAGTAAAAGCATCCACCGATGAGAATAAAGATCCTTCTGGTGGTATATATATATATATATATACATTCCATTAATACATTGTAATTTAATAGATCTTTTTGAAAATTTTATCCACTGTACAAATTCTGAGTTTGTTTTCGGAAATGTAAGACATTTTTCAAGTTCAGATTTGTAAATGATGATTATGCCTCCTGAATTTCTTTTAAACTTTGATCGATGTTTACTAAAATAACTATATCCGTTAGGGTGTGATATTATGTCGAATTTATCTGTTTTTGCTTCTACAAATATGGACATATCGTTATTAATGACGAGTTCTGAAAATTCTGGTGCCAAAGATTTTGATTTAAGTCCACATATAGTACATGGGAGGGAATATACCATCAAAGTTTCAATGGATTTGACTAACCATTTTAAGAGAGGAAATGCTGCTCTAAGGTTTTTGGACCATTTTGACCTTTTTTGCATTGTTTTCATGGTAACAGCAGCCATTTTGGAAATTCCAAAGCCAAATGCCATATCTACACATGCCAGTCAACATTTCTGTGAAGTTTCACCAAATTTGGACCATTTTGATATTTTTGAAATTTGTGGATACATAGTAGTTCCAATGATTGTCAAAATCATCCAAAACCTATATATAGTGGACACTTACATTGTATCAAAATTTAATGATTTTAAGTTTAAGCATACCCAAATAATTCACTATACCCCAAAATTTATTTTTTTCACCTTTTTCGGTTTCCGTGGTAACGGCAACCATTTTTTAGTTCCAAAGTTCCACTGCAACACAAAAGATGGTGTTCCTTGCTATACTGAATAATCATTTAGATTGGTTCCATTGGCTCTGAGAAAACTCCCGGACAAAGTAAGTAGAAGTATAATAATAACACAGAAATAGAAACAGAGGAAAAGCAATATGTTACCCGACATTGTCGATCGGGTGACATAATTAAGTAACCTGGAGGCAAAACCAACTGGATACAACCTTTTTTTTTAAAGTACTATTTTATATAGTTAATTCTGTTTACCTTGTGATTTAATATTACGTCCTACTTTTCCCATATATATATATCTTTATGTTATTAAATGTTACTCTATGGTGGGCATTAAAAGGCCAGTTTATAAAAAGACTGGTTTAAAAAAGATTTGGATATGCTTTGTCGGTTTCAAGTCATGCGATTTTGTTTGGATAATAAAGAAAACTGTTTACGTTGATGCCTGTTTTTTTCCAGGTTGATCTGTAATGAAGTGATTTTGAGTCTGTATTGACATAGTCAGTTTACGTTTAATTATTGCTTTTAACTGTAGCAGGATATAAATGGCGAATTCAGACGTCCAGGCATTGGATGAACGATTGTCTAGGGTAGAAAAACAGAATGAACAAATTTTGCGATGTGTAATGAAGGTAAGCTATTAAAACACAGGAGTTCCTCATCAGATGGTTGCTTTTTCACATGACTGTATGAACTATTCAATCGGATAGCGAAATCCATTCATTTATTAAATAACTAGCTAGAAAAGTCGAGAATATGTGTTGATCGTATTTGAATTAGCGCCCAAATATTTCAAAGAAAATTTGACATGGCTTTCAATTGCTTCCGCATTATCAATGCCATATCTGAACATAAGGTGTATCTTAACTCGATAACAAAAAGCCATGTCTTCACATCTGTGCACAGAAAAAAAGTACAATTGTAAGCAGGACATTAATCAATACCTTTATTCTCTTAAAAATTAATAACTTTCATGGATTTTTAACTTTTGAGCTGAGGTTATAATGAAGCAATGATGTAAACGATCACGAATTCTTGTGTTGACAAGAATAAGTCAATGTAGGTTCATCACAAGGTGTTGTGATATATATGGCCGTGTTTACATCTCAAAATCTTTTCTATATACAGACAAAGCTATGCAACTTGAAGGAAAGTTTTAAAGTAAAAAATAATCGTAAGGGGTTCCGCGGAACCCGGTGTATCGCCTACGGTTGCTGCTGTCAGTGTAAAAGTGTAATGTTGACTAAAAAAGTGAGTCTATTTATCAGTAAAATACAGAATTTAAAAAGAAATTCAAACTTTTTCTTTAGATGCTATTTCTTCAAGTGGTCTTGAAGATTAGCTCAAGTTCTGTCAAAGTTTCATAACAATTCATGAAGGTTTACAAATTTATCATGTCCAAAAATTTCAATCCCAGACTGTCTGTAAATGTTATCGGTAAAAAACTAAGTCCATCTATCAGAAAAATACTAAAAACGAAATTATATTTTCAAAAGTTTGCTTCAGACATTATCTCTTAATCATAAATCAAAGTACTGAAGGATGACCGCAAGTTCTTGTGCATGGTCACAAGCACTTCAACGGTCTCAGAAAAAAAAATCACATCTCTATACCTGAAAGTGAGGTTAAGGTACATAGATATATTTTTTTTCTGAGACAAGTTCGTGCGTGGATGATGAATAAATGACAGGGAATTCAACCTCACCGTAATAACTATTATATTGTAGTGATACAAATCAGTATACTCTGGTTTTTTGTTATATATTATATTAATATTTGTATATAACAGTTACATGTATATTTATTTTTCATCCATTTGTATATCATTCTATTCTTCTATTTTAATAATAGTGCCGTGCAAGTGCATGGTGGACACTCTTCTGTAATAATTCGATTTTTCTAATAGATGAGATTTGAGTAGGCATTCATATTTTTACCGCAAAACGTTCTTGAGATATTCCTCCGCATGCGTTAATACAAAGTTTCGGTATTCTTGATTTGTTATTCATATATATATTTCCCATGACAAAACATTTTCATATCATTTATCTATGTTCTTAAAAATTATTTTCATGAACATTTATTGATGAAATTGATATATAACAAGCGATAAGGAATGTTATTTTGCGTTGGTTATCAGTAAAAAACGAAAGTCACGTGGGTAGAAATGTCTGTGGCAACAATACACCGGAATGCCCTCACGGTAATCCGATGTAAAAATCTTCTTCCAAAGTTTCATAAAATTCTCTGAAGGTTTGACAATGTGTAACAGACTTTAAAGGGAAAATTCGCGATTTTTTACTCATCATCTACATATGTTCATTATTATATAAAAAAACACATTCCCAAAGTTTTAAAATTTATCTTCCCTATAATAACGGAGAAAATATTTGTAACTTTTTTGGTTGACATACGGGTTGTGACGTTTTATATAAAAAGAAGATGTGGTATGATTGCCAATGAGACAACTCTCCACAAGAGACCAAATGACACAGAAATTAACAACTATAGGTTACTGTACGGCATTCAACCATGATCAACAGGTTGGGAACAACCCCTCAATGTAATGACTATCCCTTTTATGAGGGGTACATTTCAAGTGATAAAAAATATTTTTTTGTAAAAACCACTTTTTAGTACAAATGAGCAAATATTTATATTATTTGAAGAAACTTTTCCCAAAGAACTATACATATATCTGGTATTATATGGTCAAAACATGTCCAAGAATTCTGTCATATTCCTGGACTTATATCTTCCTTATTATTAAAAATAAGTGGAACCCTCTTTTAGAAAAGTTGTTCCAAATATAATAAATTTTTCCCTTTTTAAGTAAAAAAATCGAAGTTTTCTTTTTTCTTTTTTACAACAGTAAAACGACCCCTTATCTCAGGGACAGTCCCTCATCAAGTTAAGGGACATCCCTCATTTGGGGGGTTGTTCCCAACCTGATCAAAGCCCATACCGCATAGTCAGCTACATACGGCCCCGAAATGACAAATGTAAAACAATTCAAATGAGAAAACTAACGGCCTAATTTATGTACAAAATAATGAACGAAAAGCAAATAAACCCAATTTTGAATGCTGGGTAGGAAATTAAAACCAGTTAAAGTCTTAATCGCTTGTCGAATTCCCGGTTATTAAAAGCGCACAGACGACCGTTTTTCGTAGCTTATAACCACAAAATAAGAATGAAAGAAAATGAACACACGTGCAACGTTTTACATTGATTAAATAAAAAATCCTATGTTTTCGGTTTATATTTTCGATCTAATTTTATTTATTAATAGTTGCAATTTTTCCGGAAATATTTATTGTACACAAATTATTAACTGAAAATATTTTCGTTTTTATTTACCTGACATTCATTTCAACGCAAAGTCTGTGTGAATAGCATTTTGTAAAACAATTCGTTTGAACTTTACCTGAGAGCAATTTAGCCTCAAGCGTACACTGTTACAGGTGTGAATGTTGTCATTTTGAATGAATTAACAGAAAGATAATGACATTTAATACACCAAGATTAAATATCCGATGACAATGAAAACAAATCATTGTATGAATTCATTGAAAATATATTTTTTTTAATTCCAGCTGTGTATAAAACTGAAAGAAACAATTTTCGATTAAGTTCTATGCAATAAACATAAAGATTTAAATATGGAAAATAAAAGAATAATACTTTTAATGCTATATTTCCCCCCAATTTAATATAGAGATACCATAGCACATGTGTTTAATTTAGTTGACCGGAATTCTTTAACTTCTATTTAAATCTGTCTATGTATACATAATAAAATTCAAATAGCAATCCCTTGGAGATAATTTCTCGGGGGAATTATTTTCTAATTAATAGAATGCCAAGTATCGTTTATTTCATTAAAGTATTGACATTCATTAGAAATTTAAGCTAATTAATTAGTTGTTTATTCTTTCTGAGAATTTTTTTTAACAAGTTAATTCGAGATCAAAGGAGACTTCTTTTTCTCAAATGAATTTTTTAAAAATCAGATTGGTTCTGGAGGTTTTTCTCTTATTTTCAATATACATATTTTAAATTGTGGCTATCTATAGGTCCGTAAGGCTTATTCTCATTTCGCCTTAGCTGTCAAAATCAGTATATAAAATTAATCCCATTTCACCTTAGTACAAATTTTCAGGTACAAAAGAATTAACTAAGGCGAAATGGGAACTTGTGTAAACAACATAATTAAGTTATTTTTTGTTTTGTATTGCAATTAGTTAATATTTGTTATTTTAATGTCAAAATCTGCCATGAAATACTTTTTAAAAGAAGATGTTTTTTTGGTGTCTTCCCGATTGTCCCAATTTTGAATTATTCTTTTTATAGTGATTCATCTTTTTTGAAATGTATTTATTTACTTATGTTATATATTTTGTAAATAACGTCTTTGTTGTTGTTTCTTATTAGAGATGAAAAATAGGATACGGAATACTTAATATTTTAATGACAGAATAAAATAAAGACAAATATCAGGCAATAATAACAAATATTTTATTTCCGAATCAGCACTGAATTACAAGCACAATTTTAAATTAACATACTAATAAAGAAAATGTACATGTAATAAATAATCGCATGAGAAAAACGCACTAATACATATAAAACATAACAATTATTTCCATAAACATAAATAAACAGTACTATGACAGTTCATATTATGAAAAACAAGGCACTGATGGACACATTGGAATGTTCAAAATTCATTTAGTTACCAAGTTTAAGGATGTAGGATGCTGCATCACCATACTGAATGTAGTCTGTTGTACCATTCTGTAGGTTTTCTTTGAAAGTGGTGAATCTTTCTTCTACTTCTATATACTTTCTAGCTTTTTCCCTCATCTTGCAACCTGCTGCATATTGTACTTTCTTTACCTCGTTAGCTGCTTGCTCTTTCTTGAACGTCTTGATGATTTCAAATAGTTTGGATGTGCTGTTTTGACCCTCTTTTTAGCTTGTTATGCCAGCCCTCTAAATGAGTGTTTGTCCTGGGTCCATCTGTTTGGTGGTGGTTCCAGGTTTGTTGTGGGTATCTGCCCTCTATCCATGTCGGAATTACATTGTCAGTTAATTTGGTGCAGGCATCTGTCTGTGGTGCGTTTTCCAAAGCGTGTAACAAGTAGTCTTCCAAGCGATCTAAGTGCAGTAATAGTAAGGCTGCTGCACGACGGACGAGTTTGTTGACATCTGGGACATCTTTGTATTGAGTCAGAAACCCATATTCTTGTGTCTTTTTTCCATATGGCTTTTGCGTAGTGCAACAAACAACCTATGAGTTCTGCGTTTGAAAAGACATGAGCAACTGCATTTCTGGATGCACATTCCAAGTCAAGGCTAACTGTGTCTGGCTGGAAATTCAGGTTGTGTTTGTTGGCGATGTTTTTCAGGAGATTGAAAAATCTTATATAAATATCAGCACCTCGCTGTGGTAGAAGAGAATACACCAATGGAAACATGTCTGTGCCAACAAATGCATGGATGGTGAATATGCTGTCAAACATTGGTGGTGCTGTGTAAAAAGTTCCATCACAGTATAAAGTGTCTGCAGTGCATAGTTGTTGTAAGTTCTCAGCAGTTGTGAATATAAGTAGTTTGTTGACGTCACCATCATCAGCTTGCAGAAATGGTTCTCTACTTCTGGTCTTGCATAAAATTCATAATTTTATTTATTATATTACATGTTGTTTAAATTGTTATAAAAACACAGAGGTTTAATTTGTTTATTTAACATTTTTATCTAAATTTACATTTCGCCTTAGTTCAATTCCCATCTCACCTTAGTATATTATTTTTTACCTTGTTTACCTGGAATTCACAGCTAAGGCGAAATGGGAAAACACCGTCCGTAACGTTCTATCTGTATAAACCAATGATCGACAACTATGTACATTTTTGTGAAATAAATATTTATGTTTCAAAATGTAAATAATTATTGACAACGAGTACATACTTACATTTTCCAAATTTTACCATTGAAAAATGTGTAAATAGATTTCTACTTCATTAAATCTTTAGTTGGAATTATTTAGATTTTCATAAATAATATTCATTACTCCAGAAATGTCATTCATAAACAAGTGGTAGGAAAGTTGACTACACGCATGAGTTAACATGGTAATGTCTAGTGTATCACTGAAATTCTACAGCTGTTCCAATGCGAATCAAAAATCCTTAGTGAACACATGATTGTGCTTTCATGTTTTATTCTCTGCTAGGTTAAGAATTTCTAGGACAAATTTATCCTGCTGATCAACAATGCTGGCCATGTTTACACTATTAAATCAAATGATTAAACGACCAATAGAGTGTTCAAAAACACCGATGATATATATCTTTGACAACATATTAAAACAATTGACCCCAAAATAATGAACAGTCCAAAAGTGTATAAGAAGAGTTGAATGCAAAAATATTTTCCTCAAGGCAACTGAAATGTATTACTATTAAAAATATATAAAAGGTCATCTATTCCATCATGTTAAAATTATCATATATCCTTTGTACAAGTTTTAAGTGAATTTTAGTCAAATTTTAGTCAAATTAGAATTTGTACAAGTATTTTTCGGACAAATTATAATTTGTACAATGTTAACATACAAATTATAATTTGTACATTTTTTGAACAAATAATTATAATTTGTACACAACATAAACATGTATATTTAAGAAGCATAGCAACCACTGTAATCTTTATTTTTTATCTAAAAAAACATTTTTGTCATACATACTACTATCTATTTATGGTACTCTTCTATAGGGTGAAGGTTAAATGAAAGAGATTCAAGGGTTTTACAAGAGGAATTGTGTTAGCTAGGTAAATGACAAATGTTGAATAAAATTAAAATATGTGTATGGATCCAAAGAAATGCCCCTGAAAGATCATTTGATAGACGTTGTTTTCATTATATGGTAATGCTTGTTTATTGGTTGCTCGACATCCAGATGGAACTATTCATCCATATTCATGATCAAAATAATGAGCGAGAGGAACATTTCTTGCTTTGTACTAAAACAACATCCTGAGCAAGATAGTTATATTGCTACACACGTAGAGCCCAAGGTATTAAAATGTTCTCTTAAAATGCCTGTCACCCCATTCAGATTCATTATTCTGGCTGAACAAAATACTCTTTCCTGTTGCTCTTTAAAGTAGCAATGCATTTAAAACTCTTTAGCTTGACTAGAAGTGGTTGAACCAATTACACACCCCTAATTATGATGAGCATGCCAATCACAATACCATCACCTTGGTCTCGTTGGTACTCTTTAAATTCCCCCTAACAAAAAAAGAGTTCTTCTCGCATGCCAAAAGACTAACAGGGGGATATGAGGTTTCATCATCTTCTTCTTCTTCTTCTATATACCACAATTCACCACAGCTGACTTTAAATCAAATATTAACAATGGTAGTTGTTCTTGGATTATTTTATTTTCTATTCTTACATTGTTTCTGTACCTCCTTATTTTTAGGAATAAAAAATAGAAAAAAATAAAGGAAAAAAGATTTCAAAGTGTACATTGTTGTTGTATGAAACAATGGCCTCCGAAAAAAGTAGCTGCTGGCATCATAGGTATATAACACAGATTTTCATCTAATGAGAATCATGACAAGACCGAAAAAGTCGAATTTCGTGGTCGAAGAAGGTGCTATCGTATTTAGTTTTTGAGATTTTTGGAACCTTATAGTCTATAACAGTTTTTTGGGTTTTTAGACATATCATACAAAATGGCTGCTGGAAAATAGCTTGATTGGCTGATAAATGTGGCTGCCAGCTTGAATCTGGTGGCAATACATGTTTGAATATTAACTCTGTTAACAGATTTGCAATTGATATATTGTCATGTCATGAAATTTGTAACTGTTCTTTTCTTTAGAAACGTTCAGGCTCAACAAAAATTCTTCTTTGCTTTTATCCCATCATTGTTTATTTAACATTTTTCATTCTTTCAGAAAAAAGATCAGGATACTGTAAGTACACAAACTTTCGTTTGAAATCCATAATTTACAAACTATATTCTTAATTGCTTAGAACACTGATAGTTTACATTTGTCAATATTACTGTGCTGCTATTCTCAATGTTGATCGATTATAATCATTTACTGAACATAGAAATGACCACCACTCGTTTTCCTTAGAAACAACCTGTTTTCCTCTTAATTTTCGACGAAAAAAAGTGATAATATATTTTTTATGAGAAACATTTTTAAAGCTATATGACCTACGATTAGCAACCAAGTGTTAAATTGCTTCAAATATACCCGTAGGAATTTATATCATTTATTCTAATATGGCGTGCTTCTTTCGCTTTCAATATTAAGGATCATAGTTGTTACATATCAAAGATAAATAATTGTGGCGAGGGATTTAATTCATGTTTTTGGCATTTGTTACAATATTTTCTAACTAAATTGTCAAAAATCTTGTAACGCCATCGAACGTTCAGACAGATACTTGTAAATTGTATCATTATTTTAATGTAAATTTACAATTAATGTACGTCATTAAAAAGTGAAGAATCAATATAGAAAACAAAATAAACATACCAAACTGTTGTTAATTGGTGTAACAAAATAGAAGTCACAGTACACCGAGAACGCTAATTCATTTGTATCAGAAAGACAAAACATAGCTTTCCTTCCTACATAATATTGGTATTGGTCAACAATTCCCATCTCATACATTTTTGGATCAATACAAAAATTTTGTTAAAATCTGTATTATTTCGAGAATCTTCAGGCATTTATCATTTGACGATCCGTTAGAACCAAGCCGTAATACTGGTTAAATCTTAGGGTACACACACAATGGGCTGTGATACTAAGAATTGACTCCCCACTCGAGCGTGAAATAAATTGAGGGGAAATTGGCCCTACCTCTTCGTTTAAAAAAAAATCGCAACGAGTCGATAAAACCATATACTTGGGCCCGGTTGTTCAAAAGAGTCGTTAGCCTTAACGGCGATTAAGGCTAACGAGTCGTTTAATTCCAACTAAGTCACTAGCTAACACATGCGTTTAAATGTGCTGTTCAACGACAATGTTAACTAACACTGCGTTAGGAGTCGTTATTTGTTTTATATTAAATCGTAATTCATAATGCACAGAAAATTTTCAGTTCTTGTTACCAAGATAACTCAATTGTCTGAAAACACTAAAAAAAAAAAAAACCAATTGCGAAGGGATAAAAAAAAAAGCAAATTTCACCTCTTATTGTGCAAATTTAATTAGTAAACTAGTTGGAGTTGTTGAAAGTTGGATTTAGTACTGAAATTTCAAATCAGAAGAAAAATGAAGTATGGAAACAAATTACTGAGGAGGTGAATGCTTAAGGTAACTGCCTCAGAACTGAAGCAGAAGTCAGAAACAAATAAAGGAACATTTGTCGTGGGAAAAAAGAAAAATTTACATATTCCAGAAAGGAAACAGGCAAGACAGGAGGTGAACCACCACCCGCACAACTTAGTTCTGCTGATGAAAATATAATACATGTTATGAAGAATAGTGCCTCATTCAGTGTAGTTTGTGGCATTGAAACAGATATAACTTGTAATGGTTGGTATTTTTTAAATTGAATATAACTTTTACTTCAAATTCGTTCTTTATCATGACTTTTAAAAAACATTCGTATTTCAACCTGTTATTGCAGGGAAAAGTTTACGCTAACGGTCGTCTGCTTTTAAAAAAGGGTTTCCCATAATATAGGAGTTCCTCGCTTCAAATATCTTTGATCATGACATGTTCTAAAAATATGTTTCAATCTACCCTCCTAATTATACGTATGTGTCATCAGTATTAAGAATCCATTTACACTCTTTACATTCAGATATCCTTCACTGTAAAAAAAGTTTAACTTTACGCCAAAAATGGTGGCATCCCAGCTGCCACCGTTTAAGGTGTTACGTTTCCTAGTGTAACTTAACACAAAAACTGGTTGCAGCTGGGTTGCCACCATTTATGGTGTTAACTTTCCTATTGTGACTTAACACGAAAACCGGTGGCAGCTGAGTTGCCACCATTTTGAGTGTAAACTAATCTCGAGGTTGATGAGTAAACTAACACCAAATCTACAAGTATATGTTGTTGTTGAAGCACCATTTTGAGCGCTTGTGGGTACACCAAATTCAGACTCATTTTGACACCACAAGTCGGTATAGTGCAGCAATATCTGTGTTCTTCTAATATTTAGTTCAGAACTGGCACTGATTAACACTATCTTCAATAGTCAATAAAGGCTAAAAAAATGTAAAAGCTGTGAGAAATGAAACCTTTTACGGATGATTAACTTGTTTTTTGGAAGACATTTTATCTTGCTGATTAGTCTCCTAATTAACATTTGCTTGACCATTGCCCGAATTCTATTTGGAGAAGGTATTTTGTCAGCTGATGAATATTTTCTCTCTTTTTGATTGTCAATTCTATCACTTTAAAATCCGTTAGTCTGTGTAGTACTTTGAACTTCGAAATCGTGCAGATTCTTCACTTGAACCACCTGTATATCTCTCTTCAATATTTTGACATTTATATTCCAAAGGCCAACTTTCCTTCAACAATAGTGACATTTCATTAGTCCTGTCTATGGATCACTGAAATGAAGAAAAAATTATAACTTGTATATATAATTAGATACTTAATGTAATCATGGTTTCTTATCCACAAGGGTCTTTCTTTAGGACATGTAAACTCTCCTAGAAAATTTATTATTACCATCTTGATACCATAATTTTTACATATATACCATCTTAATAATCTATTTCCAAATTTTGACATGTAGTTTGCCCTAATATTAATAGGGAGTAAAGTAACACAATATTGACAAATATTTTTCGTTGATGTAGCACCATTTTGGGCGTTTATAGATACCGTAAAAAAAAGTAAGGTTACACCAAATATAAACTCAGTTTAATACACCACAAAATGAGCATCACTACACTTATTTAGTGAACGGATGCACTGTATTTAGGGTAATATAACATCATATTGCGAGTTAACGTAAACTCAATTGACACCACAAGTTTTACTCTGTAAAACAAGTTTTGCAATGGTCAATGCCACAAGTTATTTGAAAATTTGCTTCTACATGTACTCAAAGTCCCTATGGACAAGAACCAAATGGTGCAAATATGTATTTGCATTGTTAATATTCCTTTCACGAATGCCGAACATCATAATTTATCTTTACACATTACCTCTTACACATGGTCACAAATACAATAAAAATTCTGTTTTTGGGGGTTTGCATATTTATCAGTTAATGGACTTACCATTTTCAACACACTTCAGCCCTCAGTTTCAGCATTTATTTGTCGAATTCCAAGTCGTCTATCGATCACAGCGCAAATATGGCTACGGAACAAACCAATTTAAAATACTGGGTTGGGTTGGATTGGTAGAACTAATAGCAATCTTACCATGTTTTGGAAAATAATAATTATTAAAATCTCGACAATATATATAATATCTTTGAAAAAAATAATTCAAATCAAGTGTACGACACAACATGACTCGAACATAAATTTGTTCAAACTAAACTAGCCCTTTCCCAATCCAGAATCAAATGGTCGCGTCCTTCAGTGAAAATACACGATTTGGTAAATCATTACTCTGTTTTAATTTTACCAAAAACGTTCACGATATAAAATCATAGATAATCGTATACAGTTGGAAATTTAGTGACAAAATATTACCTCTCCTGTAAACACTGAAAACTAGGTCTTCTCACTGTTTTAGAAAGGATGCAATCAATTATGAATTCACGGGAAAACGTTCTGGTAAATAGTAAAAATAGAAATAAGTTGAAATAAAAACGAAACTTCGATTTAATGTTATCATTTCACTCCTTAAATAGCAAACGACGCAAACTACAGCAGGCTATAGAAACTTGATGTAAAATTGGTTTAAAATGTTGCTATTCGAATATATTCCTGGAGTACCAACTGCAATTTATTTTTCTACTGGCTGCATACCTCTCTGGAACATACTGGAATTATACGTATATATATTCAGCTAGATCAGAGAAAATCAGGGAAAAAAAATCCAAAAGAATCGGTTGATATGCAGCAAAGATTAACACTTTTGAAATTACGTTACTAGGCAAATTCAAACGGACCTTATCCCGATGTAAAATTGAATGTGAATAGATCGAGAAGACCGCAAATACATGTACAATAAATCGAGACGACCTTTTCTTAAAATTGTATTAAAAATAGTAGAGACATACCTACTTATAAGAATAGTTATCTTTAATTTTTTAACCTGCACAAACAGAATTTTGAATTATTATATCCACAAAAAGACATTATTTCTATATTACATGTACATGTGACAAGAGCTGACCGGTGTAGTCGAAAACTTGGATGTAAATAATAAGTATATTTTGGGAAATTGTAACATGCTAAGGACTTTGTGGAACACTCCGAAAATTGGTGACCCGAAAGATCTTTAGATTCAGTATGTACATTCTTTTTTCAATTTTTTTTTATCAATATGCAGCAAAGATTATGTTTTTTTTTAGATTTCAGTTTCACAAGCTTCTAATGCAATTATCTCCATAAATACTGAACATAAACCATCGTGTATTTGCATGTATATTTCTAATAACACAGTTTAACAAATAATTTCTTTAAAATGTACAATTATTATTTAGAAATAACTTTTGATCAGTATCGTCACCGGCATTGTTTTATTATTGACTTTCTCGACTCTATGATAATAAGAGTGAATTTTCTTTTTTTTACGTTCACTAGAATTCCCACTGTTTAAGCCGCGCCGATTTTCTAGATTTGATTATATGACGTGGACCTTATCGGAATCTTACACGGAAAGCTAGAATAAGTTGTGCCTTTGTAAAGTAACATTTTTAAAATGGTATGTTGGTGTGAAATTACACGACAAAGTAACACTTTTGATTGGCATGCTAGTATGAAATTACACGTGAGTGAAACATAAGACATGCTATGGTGTAAAGCTATGAGACACTCCAATTTTCTGGAATATTTGTTTAAACATGGTGTAAACAATTCTGAATGTATACATCTTATAACGCGAAATTTTCAATTGACATTTATTCGTTTTACATTCGGTACGTACCCGTTTTGTCCGTTATCCTTCCGTTCATGTCCGTTTCACATCAGTTTATCATCCGTCTTATCCGTTATACGTTCGTTATACGTCCGATAGTAGTCCGTTGGTGAATTGGTCTACCAGACCATCAACGGATTTATAACGGACAAGTAACGGATACAAAACGGAAACGAAACGGACGAGTACCGTTAAAAACGGACAACTACCGGACGTTAAACGGACACTTTATCCGTTGGACGTCCGTTTGAAAATTTTCCACCGGATAGAACGGACGTCGACGGATAAAACGGAAGCTGAACGGACATGAAACGGATATGGACGGACGTCTAACGGATATGAACGGACTTCTAACGGACATGAACGGATTGAAAAAAAGTTATCCGTTTGGCGTCCGTTCACGCTATCCAGTAAGTTATGACCGAGGCTTTACACACCGATTTTCTGGAATAGTTGTCCTAAATATGGTGTTACATTTGATGTAACATTTCATGCTTTTTTTACAGTGTTATAACGGTATATATCTATAATTATTCTCTTTTTTTTAACTGAAAAAGCCTACTTTTTTGTCTTCGTGTTGTTTTGCACTTGCTGCTTATTTTCTGTTCCTTGTAACATCGAAAAAAACAACTTAAACGGAGATACGAATTAAGAATTAAAAAAAAAATGGTTTGAAGCGATGACACTATACTTTTCAATATAAAAAAAATCACTCAATATTTAACTTGATGTACAGATAAGAACTTATAAGTGCAGGAATATGACAGTTATTTTCGATTCGTTTGATGTGTTTGAGCTTTTGATTTTGCCTTTTGATAAGGGACTTTCCGTTTTGAATTTTCCTTGTAGTTCGTTTTTTTGTTGGTTATTTTACTGTTTTGCTTATGCAATAGATGAAAGGCTATAGCCTGGTTTTTTTATTTCTTGTAAATGATGAATTTTGAATTCCTCTTTTCACATCTACTTCATAAAGTATAAAACTCAACCAGCACTATTTTGAAAGGGGTCTGTATATCATGGCCTCATAAAACTATCAAAATAAAGAAAATAAAAACAAAGAAACAAACAGAAGAAATACAAACAAAAACCAATAATATTAACATAACACAAAGTCATTATTGGTATTCTTATGCATGCTGCATTAAAAATTTGGAAAAAAATAAGCAAAAAATGTAACCAAGTGCTTTATGAAACAATTTCCTCTTACCAATTTAATAGATTTTTTGGTAAAGGTATCTCTTAAATGATATTAATATAATATGCTTTTATTTAAAACAAAAATATGTTTCCGATACCACCACCATGATATTTATCATCATGTCACATTCAGGTTATTGTCAGTATGTTTGATTTGTTTTTACTGAAAATCTTAAGAAGGATTTACATTTCTTTACTTAACAAATTAGAAGCATGTCCTGTCACAAATAGAAGCCAGTCCCAATGGACAGTTACCCCAAAGCCCACAACAGAAGAATCTAGATATAAGAAGATGTGGTATGAGTGCCAATGACACAACTCCCCATCCAAGTCAAAATTTATAAAAGTAAACCATTATAGGTCAAAGTACGGTCTTCAACGCGGAGCCTTGGCTCACACCGAAAAGCAAGCTATAAAGGGCTCCACAAATTACTAGTGTAAAACCATTCAAACGGGAAAACCAACGGTCTAATCTATATACAAAACGAGAAACGAGAAACACTTATGAACCAGATCAACAAACGACAACTACTGAACATCGGATTCCTGACTTAGGACATGTGCAAACAATTGCAGCGGGTTTAAACGTTTTAATGGTACCAAACATTCACCCTTATCTGAAACAATAGTGTAACATCACAACATAGAAAGACACACTATAAAATATCAACTGAAATGGCTTAACTCAATCAAAAGACATATTAACAATCTGTCTGGATGAGAGCTCTTGACAGTCACCACTCAAACCTGCAATCATAAAACAATCAGCAGACCTACTCAGTAGCTGATAATGCCGAAGGGACTAACAGAAATGTTGCATGCCCAGGTCCGAGTAGTTTGCATCTTCCCAGTCTTAGACTAAACGATCTTCAAGTTCATGCAGGTGATGTTTCTACACATTTACAACTAGAAATTCCTCACTTCATGACGGCAGCCATGATCTATACATTCTCAACAATTAAAAAAACTCCATTTGTGTTCAGTGTAAAAATTTAGAGAAAAAAGTATGCGCCAATTCAGGGTTGAAAAAATCTAAGAATAACATTTTCATTTTTAAAATATTAAAGTCACGTGTGATAAAGTTAGCACATGCTTTCTTGAAAATGATTGTAAATAGAAATGATTGATTGCCTAGGAGAGTGAATTTATAAACTTAATCTGCGTTTAGGCTCTTTATAGAAAAGTATAAGTATTCCCTAAAAAACTTTCAAACACATATCTTGAAATAGTTTATAAAAAGTGATCTCTCAAAAGATAAATGATGCATACTTCTGGTTACTCAAATTTCCCATAAAATGAGCACACAAAAAATTAAAAAGCAGGATATAACTGTCCCATAAGAATACCAGTGTTGAGACACACTCTAGTAAAAAAAAGGACTGTCAATATGTATATGTTAATAGACTCTTGTATTGGTAATTTTCAATTTTCTCTTTTTCTTACAGCGTACAGCCAACACCAACAGGAAGAAAACAGCAGAAGACGTGCATTCGTTATAATGTGCAGTTCTGGAAAAAGAACTGGAGAAGAATATCTTACAATTAGATCTCCAAAAAAAATTGCTATGTAAATATGACAATTTCGATTCGGATGCAGTAGAATTACTGTTAGTTTTGGGGCAGTGATTGTAATAACATAAATTAATAGATAAGTGAACATGAGGACTCTATTTACTTAATGTTTGACTTGTTTTAATTGCCTTTTCCTATATGCTATTTTAATTACCAAATTCATTTTTTTTAAATGCTACAGATATTAAATTGATTTATGTTCAATTATTTCATATTGTATTTAATTCAATTAATTTGAAATTGATGATTAACTTACAAATGAAGACTGTAAGCAATTTTGATTTTGCGTTGTTTTTTTGTCAATAATGTAGTCTATAATAAAAAAGTGTAACATTTTGATGACTGATGTTAAGAGATAATAATTCCAATGTTGTTTGTTAAGTTTTATTTTATTGGTCAACAAAATGACTATAAGGTAAGGATTTTTCTCATTGTTGAAGGCCGTATAGTGACCTGTAATTGCTCATATCTACGTCATTTGAACCCTAGAAGACAGTTGTCTCATTAGCAAGCATACCACGTCTCCTTTTTTAACGGAGAGGGACGTGACAAGTAATTGACCAGGTGAACTAAATTGTGGAATAATCGATTTCTTAAAATATTTGTTACAATAACCTCGGCACATATTCAATTGCTCTTAGTGGCACATGTCACGAACCACTTCAATGGTTGTCTTATGTCATATTTTTTATTTTCTCTGCTATTTGGAGAATTTGAATAAGACGAAAATAAACTATAAACTACCAGGTTACACAAGATTGTGGTTGAAGGAAGAACAAGATGCATGTAAAGTTAACGTTTTTTTTCTCTCTCCTTGACGACATTTAAGTTTTATATGTGTGCTGGCTGTTGCTAACGACGTCAACAATGTATAAGTTTGGGATTAGTATAAATATGAAAAAGGATAACAGAGAAATAGTTCTGGTTGTAATAGACTATTATACACAAAGACACTTCTCAGGTCACATATACTTCTAATATTTAAATTATTCACATTCCAAATAAAGGAATGACCTTTTAATTTTTTTTTTGGGGGGGGGGGTGGTTATTTTCCAAAACATATTATGATAAAAATGTGTGCTTCGATTTGATGCTAAGTTCTTAAAACAATGTGTGCTACGAACTACAAAAAATATATAAACTGATGGTTGTGTGGTTAAAATAATCCAAACCAACGCAAGGTTGAATGGTTGTTTCCTAATATAATTTTTTATGTACTTTTGGAGAGAAAAAAAAATGTCACAATAAGAACCTAACCAAGGTAGTGTAAAATGGGGTTAAAATCATGTGACACCTATAAGACATGACAATTCTTCAAACAAATCTACATTGGACCAACACGCAGTATACAAGCATCTAATATTCACTCACTTCAGAATGCAATATGTGGAATCTTCTCTTCCATCTACCAAATGTCTTTTCTATAACAGATCTTGTGACAGCGTGATATAGCGTGACATCTTTTGTACCTTCTATGTTGTTGTTTAAAAGGATTCCGAAAACCTGTCATTAAAAATGACCTGAACGGACAGCCACTATCGCCAAGTAAGTTGTTCTCAACTGCCATTTCTCTCCATGTGAGCTCAAACCTGCATGAGGAAATTTTTCGGGTATTTATTAACAGTAGAAAACATACATGTCTCATTGGCAATCATACCACATCTCCCTATTTTTACATAACATAAATTATAGAGTGGGGTTCTTTCTTTCTGATGGATAATATGAATCGAAAACATTAGACTTCTTGGAGAAAAAGTGTAAATATTTTGCACCAACCCCCTAGCTTATCAATGTCAAACAAAAATATATACCACCTGGGACTTACAGATTCAACGTATTTTCCCATATACCACTGACTAGTGGTTTTAAACAACTACATTTCATGGTGTCTTGCATGTGAAAATAAATGTACTCTAAAGTGTTCTCAATATTATGTAATAATATGATCTGTTCATAATCCTGGACTAATGAAGCTGATTAAAAGTTGTCTATTGTTCATTAACATGTACACTCCCCTGTGAGGTTTGTAAAACATGTAACTTCCTGAAAAACAAGACAAAGTTATTTTCAATAAACTAATAGCTAAAGCAAGAATTAGAGTTAGATAAATATTGATTAAGCTTACAATTTTTACTTATTTTCATAAACTATTTACCTATAAAAGACATTAACCAAAAAGGGAGGGGCCAATGCATATAATGCATAACTTAATTAATCCAGACTCTTTGTTTACTGTACTCCTATTTTTGACATTTTTACCTATTGTGTCTGTTTGTTTTGTTCACGCATCGTTGTCAATATAATGGAATTTGATGCGACTGTCATACAAGTGAGAGGTTTAGCTAGCTATAAAACCAGGTTCAATCCACCATTTTCTACATAAGAAAATGCCTGTACCAAGTCAGGAATATGACAGTTGTTATCCATTCGTTTGATATGTTTGAGTTTTTGATTTTGCCATTTGATTAGGGCCTTTCCTTTTTGAATTTTCCTCGGAGTTCAGTATTTTTGTGATTTTACTTTTTTCATGTTGCTTATCCATATCCAATTAAGCACAAAGGTTACCCCTGGAAACAGAGACATACACTGTATATCTCTGCTGGAAATAGTAATGTATATCCTCTAAAAATTAAATTTGTATTAGTTTTAAAATAATTTTTCTGGTCATCATATTTATTTGAAACCTCATCAACTCTCTTCTATATATTCTTCCGAAGTATACAGGTAGCAATTTTTTTTGTTATGTGTGTACATAGTTTAATTTGTGTAGGCCCCTATATTACAAAATGGAAAAAGGGGAGTGAGTATTTTAAATGAATAAGCTATACATTTCTTTTTTACAAAAGTCTTATTTTTTAAGATGGAAAGTAATTTTGTAAAATGTCTATATATGGACTTCCTTATGCAGTGCTGGTGAGAGTAAAACAATTAATATATCCCATTAATTAAGAATTCGTTTTATTGAAATTTATCTATTTTTAATTCAGAGGGAACAGCAGATGTGACAGTTCAAATTTGAAGATGAAAAAAGAAGAAAATTACCCTTTGCATCACACACTGCTTGAGCATTCACACTGGGGTAGCTTTTTGAAACCCAGCATACTCGTAAAATTCAGCTTTGGTTTTGTTTAGGTTAGACCGCCTCTGAATGAATACGCTTGATTCCAATCGTTATCTTTCCGTCAAAGTGTTTGGTTTTAGGTGACGTTATTTGACGTCATCGTGCGTTTGTTGGGCATAAATCTACGTCAGTACGTTGAGCTAAGGGATGAATATTCTAATGGGGATAACTTCCTCATGACTGATTCGATAACTGTTTCTAAATGATGAAATGAATATATTTCTTAAGGCAGGGTTGGATTATGCACATAAGAATAAAGACGGATGTTTGAAAAATGTCAAGCAGTCACAATTACTTTATCAGTTCAAATATGTTAGCCCATAAAACGTTTAAATGGCGTGAGAAATTAGCGTATGGTAAAAGAGTATTTCTGGTAATGGAAATGATATGGATATAACGTATTCGTTCCTCCTTTCACAAAATGCGTCTAAAACAGAATCAGCCACTCTTGACGCTGTGCTCTTGTCCAAACAAACAAAATAGAGATGCACAACTATAGCATAATAATTACTGGCTAGTTATTTGTAAACATAAAATATATATACTGTAGAGTATGAAAGAAGCAATGCAACAATGAATGCATATAATATGTATTAGCACTTAGATTCTGTTCAAAGTTCTCAAATTGAAATAAAACATGAGAAAAAAGTCTTACCTAAGTGTCACCTATAACTTGTAGGAAACTTCCACTGGCAAGAAATCTCAATGTGTCCATAATATGTTGCTCTACACTGAGTGCATGGTTCCTTTTCTAGATTGGATAAGAATAAAATTGCCTTCTCTCATAAATATGTAGCGCACTCTAAGTTCTGTGTTAGTGTAGTTGGGTGAAAGTTCTTCTATACTTCTAAATGTTTTTCTTTGCGTTTAGTTGGTACTTGAAAGTGAGCAAAGGCGGCCACCTTTCACACTGGGTTAGGAATTAAATCGAGGTATATAAAGCGATTTGGTTTAACACAGATTTAACGACGGCTTTAACAACACTTAACAATTATGTGAAATAGAGGTAAAGAGTATATAACAATCTTTTTGTTTGTAACATTGCAAAATTGTAATGATTGCGATTGGATTTAAACTCTAGCATTTTTATGAATCTACATCTGCTAGACACCGCTGGTTTAGTTTACGTCATTACAATTATTTTGAAGACAATCATTTACTGTAGAAAACTATTAGAAATTTTTTTAGAAAGATGTTTCTTTAAACATCTAGACAAACCGGGTATATTAAAAAAAATCATCAGATACATGGCTAATTACTTTTTACGTCGTGTTGTTCTTTATCAGAATTTTTGAGAACTTTGATATCCAGAACAAAGAAGGGAGATTTTTATCGTATTTTTGTGTTACATATAATACTATTATCACATGAAACTTCGTAGAGTTTTCAATGCATTTCTGAATGCATAAGGGAACAGCTATGGTCCATTCAGATAAGGTTTCAAGTTAATGTCCAACTGGTTCGCGGTACACTTTTTCCTGGAATGGTTCAAACTGCACCCATCCTTAATCTGAAATTCATTTTCCAGATGATGAATAGGGGAATTTGATATTTAGGGACTTTGGATAACAAGTTGTTCATTGTTTACAATGGCAATGTCCCCAGTTATAACATGAACAACCGGCGGGACTATGTTTTTATTTGGACGCTGAGCAAAGTCAATCAGGGGGTTTGAAATAAGTATTGTTGTAAGAATAAAATTCAATATAATTTAATACGATATTATTAGCAATATTTTCTAATGTTATGTCCTATTTTTATAGTTCTTTTCCCTAGTTGAAGAAAACAAAGAAAGAGGAAACTGGTCTGGACGATTTGATTTCTTTCTGTCATGTCTTGGCTATGCTGTGGGCTTAGGCAATGTGTGGAGATTTCCATATCTAGCATATAAAAATGGAGGAGGTTAGTAGTAAAAAAAAAATCATATGATTAAAAAAAAATCAATATATATTTAGTGCTAACATAGGGATAACGTCTTGCAATATTGAATGATTTTGTGGAAAAGATGATTTGGTTTGCATCTGTTTGGATATATGAATACTAGTAATTCTGTGCAAGTGATAGTCCAGAGTAACCACGACTTCTTAATACAGAATACAAGTGTTGACATTTAAATTAATCTTTAGCATACTTGTGGTCCGGGATTAACTTAACGAGCAGAAATGAATGATTATTCAAAGTCGATTGCACAATATAGTATCCTCAACATTACCAAAAAAGCAGTAAAAGAGTCATGCTACCAAAGATCATCATCATTTTTGCGGTTCAGTGAAGCTTTAATAAAATCATATACAATATAGGTGAAGAAACGCACCGTATTACGGTAAACATTTTATTATGTAAAACTGTTCTAATGTATTAATATACCTAACTTTATAGATATACTTTATTGAATACTTTCCCTAGATATTCAATAACTAATTTACAGGGATACTTAATTGAAGATGTAGATTAAGTAAATTGTCAACAGCAAAGGTGCAATAAAATTGATTAATCTGTGTTAAAAAAAGAAGCAGTAGTGGAATCGGGTTCGAGATTAAAAGAACTTTTTGGGAAATAAAATTATTTCTTCGGCATCTGTCTTATTTTTACAGCCCCTTTAAAAAATCAGGAAATTCCATTGTTCCTCTCGTCTCTCTTTTGAAAATATCTAGCTCGACCATTAAGCAGGTGCATTGTTTCCGTGTGCCCTTCTAAGTAAGTTAACTTGTAAAATGTGAAAAGTCAATTGAAAGATAAGCTTAAAAGATGTTTAATTGTAAAATACTGAAACCATTGTCTTATGATGTCAGCAGTTTTATCAACCACGGCCCAACGAAGCTTGTGGTGCGATTAAATATCTTTTTAAAATGTCAATATTATCAAGATGCTGATTTTTTTTTATCAACAACATATTTGTTATGTTTGGCGGACATATTTGTCAAACGACAGTCACCATTTGTTGGGGGATACATCTGTATTCCTCTTCTGGCAGACTTGTGAGTTAAGTCGCTTGAGGCAGATTTCATAAAAGAAATACAAGATAGATTGAACTTTTCGTTCCGCTTCATAGATGATAACTTCTCACTGAATAATACAAAGTTTGCTGACTACGTTGATTGCATATTACCAGCGGAACTTTATCTAAAAGAAACCAAAGATACAGTTGTGTGTTTCATATCTTCACTACCATCTGGAGATTGATAATGAATGTCGGTTTGAATACTAAACTTTTCGACAAAAAAGATGATTTCAATTTTCCAATTGTACTTTTCTTTTTTATATTGCAGTATTCAAGTAACTTCTTTATTTTGAATGTACTTTGATTTTAAAGGGGCATTAGCTGTCAAATTCATGTTTACCGATTTGACTCAAATTCTCATATACTAAAACGTAAATCCAAATTTCAATAAGTCTAAAATAAACAATTATTAATGCATGAATTCGATAATATGTATCAGCATTTCGAGTGCATTTTTGTTTAGACGTCATCTAATTAACCATCGAGATGACTTCCGAAGACTACCGACGGTCATATAACCCGATATAAACATGAATATAAATATAAATTAATAGCGAACACGTGCCATTAGGGTTCTTGATCTGTATAATTTCATATTGTAGGTTAAAACGTATGTTTATCATAGTTTTACCTGTATAAGAATGATTTTTTTTTGTGGACAGAATCAGTCAACCAAATGGTTCATCCTTGTTTCACTTTCAATGTTGTCATTCTTTTCCTTTTAACAGCTGAATACATGTGTAACCCATCTCTATCTAAGGGTTTATGAAGGTCATATGAATACGGATTCACTGAGGTCGAATAAATCACTTGCAAATGAATAATTCATCACCCATGTCTCTTAACTCATTTTGACAAAATTGAACCAAACTGGCTGCTAAAATCGAATTATTATTTCATTATTTTACTTTCATTAATGATTGAACAAACAAAATCATATTTGAATTTTTGTATCTCTCGTAGCTAATGCCCCTTTAAACATAGTTAATTCATAAAGTATGAATAGTATTGAGCAACAAGCACAGCTTTTAAAAACTTTTCCACATTAAATGACAAGTTATAAAACATATAGTAAAATTTAAGTTGATAAATGCATAGTTCTTATGATCATACGCAACAAGTACGTGTATAAAGTTTGTTAAATTCATGTTTTAAAAAATATGGTTGTACTTACTCATAAAAGTATGCAGGTGTCATTCAATTTAACATTTTATAAATCAAGGCAACAGTAGTTTTCCTATGTTCAAATCTCTTAAATCGATTAGGAAGAAACAAATGGTGCGTCGACAGGTCAAGCATTTGCAGCTGTGCATGCATCACCCGCATTGCCAATTCACCCAGTCATAATTTCAAAATTGGGAAAAGGACATAATCGGAAATAGGACACAATTGGTAAAATTATAGATCCGACAACTTTACTGGTAATTAAAGATCGAATCTCGCGAAAAATGACATATACAAATATACATGCACCTCGATAAAACTAGATACTAAAATAGGAAAAGCGATTTCTGCTCCACTATGAAGAAACCAAGTTAGAAAACAAGGACAGGTTCAGAAAGATAGCTATTGGAAACAGAGAAAAATGCCCACCTTCTTAACTTCGTGATTTCAAATCCTTAAAATTCCTGCTTAGAATTGACGTACGGGTTCAATTTAGTCATGGAACCGTTATGTTGCTGGTGTGTTCTAGCACATACAAAGAAAATAATGATAGCTACAAATTTAAACAGAAACAATTAACACTTAGTAATGAAAAACAGTTAGCTTAGATTTGTTGTCATACGAGAAAATTTATATCCCGGAATCATCGTACTTTGGCCTCCTATTTTTCATTTTATTTTAGCTCACCTGGCCAATAAGGCAGACTTCTTATAGGAGTTATTGTCCTTAAATGACGAATTTCACCGTTTTAAAATTTGTTTCCTTATTCTCTCGAAAACTATAATAAATACACAAACAATTTAGATAGCTGAAATAACTGTAAAAGAATAACAGAAACTTTCAAGGCAAAAATGATAAGATCTACAAATAAGTCAATATGACCAAAATTGTAAGTCAACTCCTCATTGAATTAATTGCCTTTAAATGACTTTTTCTCCCATTTTTGCCTATTATCTTGAAAACTGTAATAGATAGATAGAAACTATAAATTACACAAATGATCAGCAAGACAAGATCTACAAATAAGCTATATGGTCGAAATCTTCAGTTAACTCGTTATTGGAGTTATTGCCCTTTAATGATAATTTAAAATTTTTTTTGATGTTTACATTTTTTTGATAAAAGAATAAATAGACAAATAGAAACGTTAGAAAGGAAAGATTATCAGCAGGATAAGATCTATAAATATGTCAACATGACTGAAAATTGTCAGTTAACTCTTAATAGAGTTGTCCCCCTTGAATGATGATTTTTACTAAAAAGTGACCATTGTTGAAGATGCAGGTGGGCGACACAGGCTCTTTTAGAGCCTCTAGTTCTGATGACTTGTTTATGTACCACCGGGCATAGTCCAGCTAGGTGCATCATTGTTGTTTCATAATCACTGATTGTACTATGTTGCAGCAATCATATACAATTCACCTAGTGTTTTAACCTTCATATTATAATGGCAGCAAATTACGTGACTTGATAAGACGGTTAGCCAATGCGATTATCGAGGCCAACGCACTTGTTTTATTTGTGTGTATTATTGTGCTTTGTAAACGGTACAATAACACCCCGGGGATGGACTTAAACGGATCGATATTTACTGTGAAGAGAGAAGGTATAATCAGGCAACTTTTTTTTGCCCCTTGAATTCGAAAATCAAAAAGAGTTATAAAATCTACTATATAACATCCTTCAGATGTTTATTAGACAAAAGTATTTACAATTTTCAATTTTATATGATATATTGGCCATAGAGCTTTAAACTACTAATATTTGGTGTAACACCTAAAAAACGGTCAAAATAGTTTTATTTTGAGATATTGTCATTGACATTTTGATAATACATTTGTATATAGCAATAGCACTGTGTATATTCAGAATGATTGCTTTCGATTAAATCGAGTGATGTTTGCTATCACATTTTAATACACGCAAGTAACCAGTTTCCCGCCCTTTTTTTTGTCATTTTGTTCCAGTACATTAAATTTTTAACCGCTAGAAAACTATGTATTGCCATGCGATACTCTCTAAATGCTTGTTTACTTACATCTTAAGGTATTGTAATTTCGTTCAGTGCCGTTTTTCATGACGTCACAAGAGGAAATTCAGAGGAAAGCAAAAATATTTTACGTCATAATCGAATTTTGACCGATGAAGAACAAGGATCAAACGAACCACACGTTGAAAAAAAAATATATAAGCAACAGGTCAGGAAAAGTATAAATCCGGTGAGAATTAAGAGATAAAACAATATAGAAATAAGAAAAAGGAGGACGGTAACCGATAAACTATTTTCAGTCATGTTGATCATAATTATAAGGAAAACATATTGAAAAATTTAGAAATTCTCACTGCATGATGAAACTGTTGGACGTGCCCCAAGTCAATTAATGTGCATGCAGTTGTGTTTTTATATAGTGCAGAATAGTACCTACTTGCAGACCAAGGCGAATAATGTTTAAATGTTGGCGAGTGATGCAAGGCAAAAATGATTATTTTTGATGGCCTGAATATCTCTTTTCAAGAAAAGTATAGCTGAATTCATTATTTGCAACTTTTAGGTACCAGACTATATATTTCCAGAATAGTCCAGTCCTTACAACCCCTCCCCCGCCTCTAATTTTACATTTGTCTCGACTGGTTTTGGCATACATTGTACTAATCGAGTTCGGGCTATAGCTCTGGACTCATAATTTCAAAGGACGAATAATAACACTGAACACTTTAAATTTGCAAATCACTCATT